GGTTTACAATCCCTTCCCCTCCCCACAACAGACACCCTGTGAGGTAGGTGGGGCTGAGAGAGCTCTTTTGAGGACTGCCCTTCAGAGAACAGCTCTGAAAGGACTTGTGACTGACCCAAGGTCACACCAGCAGCTGCATGTGGAGGAGGAGTGGGGAATCAAACCCGGTTCTCCCAGATTAGAGTCTGTGCTCCTAACCACTCCACCAAACTGGCTCTCCCCTGAACATCAATGGCAGCAGTAGTTACCGTCAATGGCAGCTGTTACTAGAGGGGTAGTCCTCTTTAGGAACCAAGATCCTGGACTAGATGGACCTACGGCCTGATCAAGGCCAGTGGCCCTAGGGGCTGGGCTAAGGCTTGGCCCCAGCTGGTGGCTAGACGTGCCCACCAGGGAATGCCCGTCACCCTTCCATACCACTGATGCCCTGGGAGTGAGGTGAGAACTCAGTAACCCGCTTCTCTGTGCCACCCCTGTGGGTACTGTGGCCGGAGAGCTAGCTACCCATGGTTAGGGCTGCCAGCAAGCTCTGGGATGGAAATTTGGGCTGCGGAGCCTGAGGAGGGCAGGTTTTGCGGAGGGGAGGGCCCAAGTTTGATTCCCCACTCCTCCACGTGCAGCCAGCTGGGTGACCTTGGTTGAGTCAGAAGTTCTCTCAGTGCTGCTCGCTCAAGGACAGTTCTCGAAAGAGCTCTCTCAGCCCCACCTCCCTCACAGGGTGCCTGTTGTGGGGAGGGGAAGGGGAAGGAGACTGTAAGCCGCTCTGAGACTCCAAGTGAAGGGTGGGGTATAAATCCAAGTCTTCTTCTCTTTCTTCTTCTCCTTCTTCTCCTCCTCCTCCTCCTTTTTCTGTCAGCCGCAGTTCTTTCAGAGCTTTCTCAGCCCCACATACCTCACAGGGTGTCTGTTGTGAGGAGAGGAAGGGAAGGAGATTGTAAGCTATTCTGAGACTCCCAAGTGAAGGGTGGGGTATAAATCCAACTCTTCTCCTTCTCCTCCTCCTCCTCCTTCTTTTCTGTCAGCCGCAGTTCTCTCAGAGCTTTCTCAGCCCCACATACCTCACAGGGTGTCCTGAGGAGAGGAAGGGAAGGGAAGGAGATTGTAAGCTATTCTCCCAAGTGAAGGGTGGGGTATAAATCCAACTCTTCTTCTTCTCCTCCTTTTTCTGTCAGCCGCAGTTCTCTCAGAGCTTTCTCAGCCCCACATACCTCACAGGGTGTTCTGAGGAGAGGTAGGGAAGGGAAGGAGATTGTAAGCTATTCTCCCAAGTGAAGGGTGGGGTATAAATCCAAGTCTTCTTTGTCTTTGTCTTAGCAGGGTACAATGCCATAGAATCTGCCCTCTAAAGAAGCCATTTACCCCCCTGGGAACTGATCTCAGTCGTCTGGAGATCAATTATAACAGTGGGCGATCTCCAGGTGCCAACCCGAACGTTGGCAACCCTACCCGTGGGTCTCATCCAGCAGAGCTCCCCTTACGTTCTGAAGAGATGCAGAGGCCTTTCCCAGATGAGCGGGAGTGCCTTTCGGGCGCCTCCTCGCTCGATGGCCCGCAAACACCCTGAAGGCTGAAGGATTTTTCACTGATTAAAAGTGGATGAATGGGTTGCCCGAGCCAGCCTCTACGGTCATTAATTGATAACTCATAAATATACATTTCTTATTACCGAAACCTTAACACGAGCGCCTCGTTGAGATATTAAAGGAACCGTGAGACGGTTCAGAGTTTAATAAACCCGGCCTGCCGCTAGTTGTTAGAAGGAAAAGCCATCTTGGAAGTTTGGGTTGTCCTTTTGAATGACGTCGAGGTGCCAGAATCGAAATTGCCACGTTGCTCTCGCACCCGCTCATAGAAAATGCTTCCCCTCAGATACATCAGCTAAAACCATTTGTTGAGTCAAGCCAGTCCTGTGGGCTGCTAGGTAGGGTCCCAAGACACAGATACAGGAGGGAGCTGCAGAGAAGAGGATAGGAAAGGCAGCTTGCTGTAGCCCGATTGCGTCAGATCTCAGAGGCAAAGCAAGGCCAGTACTTGGATGATGAAGAAGACGAGATTGGATTTATACCCTGCCCTTCACTACCCGAAGGAGTCTCAGAGCGGCTTACCATCTCCTTTCCTTTCCCCTCCTCACAAAAGACACCCCGTGAGGTAGGTGGGGCCGAGAGAGCTCTTTCGAGGACTGCTCCTGAGAGAACAGCTCTGAGAGAACTTGTGACTGACCCAAGGTCACACCAGCAGCTGCATGTGGAGGAATGAGGAATCAAACCTGGCTCTCCCAGATTAGAGTCAGCACTCCTCACCACTACACCAAACTGGGAGACCACCAGGGGAAATTCTGCAGAGGAAGGCAATGGCAAACCACCTCTGCTTCTCACTTGCTTCGAAAGCCGCTTGCTGGGGTCACGATGAGTCAGTTGTGAATGTGCAGGCCGGATTCTGGAACAGGAGGCTGGCTTGGTAGAAAAGAAGATAATAAGTTGAATTTATACCCCACCCTTCACTCAGAGTTTCAACGTGGCTTACGATCTCCTTTCCCTTCCCCTCCTCACAACGGACACCCTGTGAGGTAGGTGGGGCTGAGAGAGTTCTTTCGAAAACTGCTCTTGAGAGAACAGCTCTGAGAGAACTTGTGACTGACCCAAGGTCACGCCAGCAGCTGTATGTGGAGGAGTGGGGAATCAAACCCGGTTCTCCCGGATTAGAGTACGCCGCTCTTAACCACTACACCAAACTGGCAAGGGATGAGAGAGGGAACATGGGAGGAAACTGAATTTAGCGGCTGAAACGAAGGGTATGTATACATGAACAAAGCTTGAGTCCAGTGGCACCTTTAAGACCAACGAAATTTTATTCACCGTATAAGCTTTCGTGTGCAAGTGCACTTCCTCGGATACAGTGAAGCAGAATTTCGTCAAGCCCTACATACAGGAAGATTGGGGGGGAGGAGATTGGATTTATAACCCACCCTTCAGTACCCGAAGGAGTCTCAGAGTGGCTTACAATCTCCTTTCCCTTCCCCCTCCCCACAACAGACACCCTGTGAGGTAGGTGGGGCTGAGAGAGCTCTTTCGAGGACTGCTCTCGAGAGAACAGCTCTGAAAGAACTTATGACTGGCCCAAAGCGACACCAGCAGCTGCATGTGGAGGAGTAGGGAATCGAACCCGGCTCCCAGATTAGAGTCCACACTCTTAACCACTACACCAAATTGGCTAACCAGAGTATCCAACTGAAACCATCAGTCTTGGCTGCAGGAGCCCGGAATCTTCTCTTCCAGTTTTCCACTAATTAATTGTCCCCGGATATTTTGAATGGCAGGCCACAGGAAGCTGCTGTCTGAAATCGAAGAAGGCCTGGTCACCTCCGGGGACTCCTTCTACATCCGCCTGAACCTGAGCATCTCCAGCCAGATGGACTGCTGCTCCCTCTCGGTGAAGTGCGATGAGATCCTGCACGTCCTTGACACCATGTACCAGGGCAAGTGCGAGTGGCTTTGTGCCAGAGTGGACCCCTTCACTGACCGGGACCTTGATACCGGGACCATCCCCAATTATAGCAGGTGAGCTAGGGGTGGCCTCGTGGGAGGGCTGAGGGGTAGGGATATGGGAAGGGTTCGTGTGCCATTGGTGAAGTCATCATGTCACTTCCGGGTTTTGGCCAGAAGTGACATAGGGTAGCTCTAGGAATTGCCAGAAATTCCAGAGATTCCTAGAGCTGCTCAGTCAGTGCTGTTGCTGCCACTCTGAGCAGTGGGCAATGGAGAGCCAGTTTGGTGTGAGAGCCAGTTTGGTGTCGTGGTTAAGACTCTAATCTGGGAGAACCGGGTTTGTTTCCCCACTCCTCCACTTGCACCTGCTGGATGACCTTGGGCAAGCCATAGTTCTGGCACGCCGTTCTTGAA